CCCCAAAACCCCAAAACCCCAAAACCCCAAAACCCCATAAAGAGAAATTTAGGCTGAAACCTTATAGTTATATTGTTTTAGTTGTGAATGGATGTGGACGAAGGGGTTTTGAACTGAGGTAGGTGAGGAGGGGAGATGGGTTGGGAAGGCATTGGGGAGGATGAGGGTGGAGGATGAAGGGGTTGGGGTATGGGAGATAAGGGGGTTTGGGGGTTGGAAGGGGATAGGGGTTGTGGGGGTTAAGGGGGTTTTGGGGGATGTTTGGAAGATTTAGCATTTGGTGTGTGTTTTTGTGATTATATGAGTTTTGCTTGAACTCTGAATGGACGCTAGACTTTTGTATAGAAGGCATACTTTTTGAAAAAAGTGAGCTTGATCAACACAAGATTTTTGAATGTGGGAATGCCATCCCATCAGAAATCCATGAAGATGACAAAGTATCTTGCTCTGAGACTCCGTTTGGAGTCCCAATAAGCTTATTTGATAATGGTATACCAGAAGTTGAGCTCCCAGAATTAACAGATGAGCATGATAATTTAAATAAGGATCAGAAAGATGAGATCCCCAGCACTGAGAATGCAAATACTTTCAGCACTCAGTTGCCAGATTTTGATACTCTTAAGCTAAAAAGCTACAAGACCACAAGGAGAAGGAAATTAACCGGTATTGTCCACAAAAGATGGGGTAAAAAGGAAGACAAGGCTTTGTTTGCAATTATTAGAGAGATGGAGAAAAACCAAATTTTTACTCTTGATGAGCTTCTTCAGCTGGATGTCACCATTGATCTCAGTTGCCATGAAGGTATTCAAGAGTTACAAGAGAAGTCTGGCTGGAAGGCCACTCCTGAGAAGCTTATTACCCGAATTCAAACAATCTCAAAATTTGAATTTTCTTTCAGAGACATTAAGAGTCTTAAAAGGATTTTAAGAAAGGATTATGACTACAGAGATATTAACTATGAAGAAGTGATCAATGAGTTCCCAGGCAAGACCATAGCATCCCTGCACCAAATGGTCTTGAAGCTTAAGAAATCCTATTTGAAGAAGAATCTGACTTCCTTTGGAAAAAACCAAAGAAATTCAGTTAAGAACATTTAAAAATAATTGTCTGATAATTAAAGTTCCAATTTAGTCTTGTTCCCTTCTTCTCAGACTTAGGATATGGTTCTCATGAAGGGTTTAATGATCTGCTATTTTGGAAGAAAATTTACCTTCTTCTGGTTGAGAAATAAGCCACAAATTTAATCGGGATTATAAGTAAAAAATTAACTCGATTTAATAACATGGTAAGGTTCTCTCTTTGCTGACAATATTTTATGAGATCTGGGGTTGGATTTCCATGTTGTCAGATGATATAGAGTTGTTTATCATAGTAAGAGATGCTTCTTAATCTGATAGTAACCTTCTCCCTATACTTTCCCAAATATTTTCTATAATTTGAAATGGGGTTATTGAATGGATGAAATTCTGCGATTGGCTTCAAGCATGGCTTTTCTGTATGAAGAGATATTTTTAATAGTATTAGCCACTCCTAACCTTAGCTTGCCCTAAAATTTCCAAGTTTCGGAAAGTTATCTTGAGTTTATTCCAATATCAGGAAGTCTCGGCAATAACTGTTTTTATACACCTAAAACAAAAATTGTAACAGTAAATTTTTTTTATAGTAGGTTTATTGACTGATAGATTTATTACCCATGAATTTCATAATTATCAGGAGATCAGCAAAGCATAAAGCTGTAAAACTATCTCACTGGGTCTACCAATTACTATTTTTGCTTATATAAACCCTTCTTGAGTCTTGCTGTATTTTATCGTCAAAAAATTTTAACTTATTTTAAGTGTGTAAAAAGTAAATAGCTACCAGTCAAAATATCAAAATGGATATGTACTTCTCTCCTGAACAATAAAGGTCTCTAAATCTGAAAATTAGTCCCTGATTCATTCAGCTTCTTTAGCAAGAGGTTATAAGCTTTTCATAACGAATCCTGGAAAGAGAAAAGTTTAACAGGAATCATTTCTTTGAGTATTATCAAATCTTTTTATTTTACCTGGAAATTTTTATTTTGTATAAACTCACTGCAACCAGTGTTTAATTTAGTTATTTATACTCAGAATTTTGAATTAAAAGAGCTGTATGTCATCAATCCATGCTCAATAATCTCTGCTTTAACTATATTCAGAACATATCAAATACCAAGTAGAAATAGAGTCAGATTTCCATAAAAAAATTGATCCCTCACAAATAAGCCTACAAAGACTATCTTTTCCAAACATTCCCTCATTATCAACCAAACTTCCATTCTTCTCACGTCAAATTCATCCCATCCATCTTCATTTTTCCCGAATAAACGTCCACATCCGCACGTTCCAAACTCCCCAATCTAACACACTGCCACTCAATTCCACAAAAATTATCATTTACCCAGCCAAATTCAAAATTTTAACTACTTCTCTTTAGAAATCAACGCTTTAACTCTTCTTCGGGTCTCAAGATAATAAACTAAAGTGGTGCTGGCTGTATTAGGAATACATTGAGAGTCTATTTAGCAAGAGAAGGATTTTGGACAGTTAGATTTTGTGCAAGTGGATTTTAGAGGGTTTGGTTTAAGAAGGAGAAAATGGGAGGGTTTGCTTGGGATTGAGTGGGGTTGATGGAAAGGAAGGGGGAGAGTGAGTAAAGATGAGGTTAGTGGGGGAGATTGTGTATGGTGATGGACTGAGGTGGAGAATTAGAGAGGCCAGAGAGTTCTTTCTTAGTTGGTTGGTAAGTTATAGGTGTTGGTATTGATTTTTGTAAGATTTAAGGTGGTCTTGGTAAAATATAAGGCTATTAGATGGTAGCTGTTAGGCTTTTAAATTTTCTGTTAATCTTCACTAATGTTGTAGTAATCTACTCTTAAATTGTGTCAATAGTAACCACATGAGGATTAAATTTTTGAAATGGATCACTCTAAGCTAAAATTATCTAATAAAAATCTGACGAATCCCCAACAGAAAAAATGTTGTAATCTAAGCTTCTTTTACTGGAAAAATATCTCTAAATTAGGAGAACTATAAGAATCCGTTGGTATTATGCATTCTAAGCTTCTTAACCATCTATCCCTGACAACATAACAGTGAATTAATGGGTATTCAAAATGCATTATTTATCAAAATTAAAAATTTCTAACTAAATAACTTAAAAAATTCAAATCATTCCTCAGATTCAATTCTCTCAAAGTGTCCCGGGGTTTTGGGGTTTTGGGGTTTTGGGGAGAT